CATTCCGCAATGTTGCTATAATCATCTTCATGTTAGTTTCTGTAAATATTTTGGAAAGAGCGCGCGCATCTTTCTCTTCTCTATAAAAAAAATTGATATATTTACCTTGAAACTCATTCAGAATATATTATCGATATACTATCATCTACCTATATCTGAACGAAAATAAAATTTTTGGGCGACAAAGCAAGCCACGTAATCCGATATTGCGTATTAAATACGTTTATATAACTAAAATACTTTTGTGTTTTCACGAATCAAAGAGGAGATTCAAATACAGAGTAGAAATATCTTTTACTATACCATATTTTTCGATCGACACACCCACTGTTCTCGTTTTCTTGATTATTTGTCGACAGCTGTCGATGAATATTCATTTTTTTCAGCTGTTTCCGTCGAACGGCTGACTGCGATCAACGTCGTGTCAACATGAAAAAATACATCGTATTATAAAATCCGTGAACGAGAAAATCGTCCGCCAACTCGTCGGTTATCGCGCGATGCTATCGACCTGCAGCACGTTAACATTCTTAGGTGAAGTTCTCCTGCTAAGGAAGACGAACGTATCCAGAAACGAGATTCCACCGGTTGAATTCCTCGATGATTGATCCGCTGGGGCGGTAGCCTGACGTCTCGACGCGAGTGCATGGAGTGTTTAACTCCAATTACCCGAGCCCTCTGAGATTAAAGTAGTCGCGCTATTACCGCGGACGTCCGTTCTCGTCGTCATCGTCAGTGGACATCGCGTTTGGGTGGCTTCCAAGCCGGATTAAACGCACCGCTGCCACTCATCGTCCTCATCCCAGCTACTTTACACTCGCGGACGTACGAGTGCACGCTGTATTCCCGCACTCATTACGCAAAGAAAGTAATTAGTCGATGAATAGTTGACGTACGGCGGAATTAGACGGTTCATTGATTTTCTTGTGCGAACGATGCCGACAATATAGGTGTCTGTTACTCAGATTATATCGCCTGTTGCATGATTTATGTAAATCAGAATATTTTGCCGATCGCGCGCACGAGCGAATAATTAAAGTGATCGAAAATGCGTGTTATGTTTATACTAATTTTTAACTTAATGTTACGTAATATTTTATTGGAAAATATGTTGGAATTTGCATACCGTGCCTTACAAAATTTTAATCTTAACATTTTATTATTATAACAATAAAAACTTGAATTATGTTGATAACTAATAATATATTACTTTGCAAATTGCAATAAAAATATTAAAAAGATAGTTTGGAGAATTTAAATCTGATCAGTTTAATCCAGTAGCATTCTTAAAATGGAGAATGAATCTTATGGCGGCGAAATAACTTGTGATATTAATTTTTTTGTTTTTTATGCACTGAAAGAAAAGATTAGCTGCTGCAACCAATTAAAAATGCTATGCCACAGTCAATCTTTTCATTCAGTGTACTATGCTCTCGTTCCGTATGTTTTAAAACAAATTAGGCTTAAATATTAATATTGTATTCGTCACAAAAGAAATACTTAGATACGATCTCGAAATTATTTCGTCTTATCGCAACAGAATTTCTAGCTGCATCACTACATGGATATCGAGAAATTATTCTATTTATTACTACTTCTTACATGTCACTGATATTGTAATTAATACTCACTAATTTTGCGCTCAATTAATGGCCATGTCTTGGTTTCATTATTGTAATACCGGTTCCACGAGAGCAAGTTCTTATGGCATAATACATAGGTATAACATGGGACGTCGCATTCATGTTATCCGATTACTTACGTATTCAAAATTATGCGTTTATACAATTATTCACAAAATTATTCAAACGTAATGCCATTGTTATGCAAACATCAAACCATTTTCATTTAAATATTTCCAACTGAACTCGAAAAATGTTTTTCTTTATTTTAGATAAGTTTTCTAGTTAAATTTTTCATTATGTGGTTAACTTGTGGTTTGAACTGGACCTTACTTAACTTGATCATAATGTAAAAATTATGTTTTCCTAGATATGATTGATCACTGAATTACATAGTTAATCACTGAACTATAATAGTTCTGTAGTGGTAACTTTAAAAGTTACTCAGTATAAAACCATTAATTTAATGATTAATTATAGTTAGAAAAATATGTTATATAGTATAATTTAATATACGATATTGAATCGGTATGATAATATCTTCAGCAATGTACGAAACATGGGGCTTAAAATGAAATCATAATTTTATCAAAGTTTTTTCATTAGTTAGATTTTAATTAAAGTTTATATTTAAACTCATATTATGTGTGTATGTGGTCATAGGTGTGTCTAGTTTCGTTGTCTGAATAAATATATTTAGAGGAATGTAAACAGAATCACTTTCTAATAGCGATACACACGATCAAAGTTTTGGCAAAGGTTAGTGCGGTGTGTGTGTGTCTAGTTACGAGAACGTTCTTGATCGGCTCTCTTTTCAATTCAGTAAATATACTCAATATTTTTTCTATATTTTATTACAGTAAAATAAAATAATAAAATGAATACTTTATTGTATCTTTCGATTGATTCAAACAATGTTTAAATTGAAATTTAATCTAAATATAATTTAATAAATTTTCTATATCCAAAATCATTACATAACAGAAATTAAAAGAAAAATAAAGGAATAAGTGAAAAGGATATTAAAGACACGTGAATGAAAAGGATAGAATATAAAAATTTAACAACTTTTCAACCAGTGTTACTGTCCAAAACTCATCTATAAGTACTTTTACAATTTTTAATACGTGAAATAGGAATGTTTGCACGAATTAGCAGCAAGTTCGAATGTTTGTGTAATCATCCGCATAGTGTTACCGATATCACGATGCAGCGATGCAGCTGTATCGACTCCATTCTCCGGAGCAGTGATCGGAATGCTGCTTATCGAATAGACAATTCGGGACAGATATCGAGTTGCAGCAGCGGCAGTCGACCCCAAATCGATTGCTCGACAGTCACGCTGATTTTATGGAATTTTTTGAATGGAGTGTCGAAATTGGCAATCAAAGTGTCTCTCAAACAAATTTCGTGAATGGACATACCTGATGTATATAATTAGCATCGTTTAAAAAACTCGACACGGTTCAAGGGTAACATTCGATTATACACTATATATGTATATAGGTATATTCATCAATTATAGGCGGCACGAGTCGTTCGAATATGACAGGAGATTATCGGATTAAAAATCTACAACTGTGTTGAGAGTCGTAGATTTTATAAACATTAATCGAATTAGATTAAATCGATGTTTGAACGATAAAGAGAAAAAAAGATTTGAGAGCGTTTCTTCGTATATATTGCGTGCCTCGTCCATTAAATCACTACAAATAAAAAGTTAAAAACAAAAAGATGAAAGGATACATCTAAAAAAAAGAGAATATTGCGTTATATTTAAGACATTTTATAATTATATTAGATGAAAGTAATATAAATTTTAATTTTTTAAATCGTAGCATGATATGATGAGATATAATTGTCAAAATAATTTAGTTTTTGTAAGAATATAATGATTTATTGAATAGATTTAATTATTGATTAATAGGATGATAATGATGATCTTTTTTACTTTATTGTGTTATACTTTATTGTGTGTGAGAAAGACATGATTTTATTAAAAATATCTTAGGCAAAAAATACATCGATATTTATTATTAGCTGTTAAAAAATGCAGAGAGATGCTAGTTTGAGATTGAAATAAATTCGTTATCTCGATAACGTCGCATAATCGACATGTACATACGCACGTTGAAAATAATAAACCTGTCAGACGACTTTAATTAGTAATACAACTCTAATACCGATCAAGATTTGATTCAAACTTTGTAACACGGTTTGCTGTTACATAAAGCCCTGTCGAGTTCTATTGATATATAACATTTTCTCATAGTCTATAGATTTAATCAATTACTAATTATAATTAGTAATTTAATATTAGTTATAATTTAAAATGTAAGTTGAATTATTAGCAAATATTACTTAACAAAATGAATTAACATATTGAATTCAATCCACTTTAGAACACATTGCTCATTTGCTGCAACAACAACTTAACTTAAATGTAATTATGAATTTTAAGAGACACGGCGTCTTGATCTTAATATATGTTGTCATGGTCATGATCCTGAGTAACCTCCAACAGGTTTTAGGTGGAGGTTATTCTTCGTTTAAAAGTTATTAACAAAAAAAGTTTAAGAAATAACTTATTTCTGTTAGAGATAATATTAAAAATTACTCTATATCTTTCCTATTAAGAGGTATTGGATTTTCCATGCGAAGCAAGGTCCACCCCACTTCTCTCCTTGCCTAGAGGCGCACGACTTCCACGCGAAGCGAGGTCCACCGCACAATCAGATAAGGATTGGGTCAGGTCAGGATTAAATCGGGGTGGGGTGCAGAGGGAAGGGCGGAGTGTTCTTTCTACACGAAACTATTTGGAATAGAACAATTGTTTCATATAGAAAGAATACGCGTAGACAGGAGAGGGACTCTGTCCTCTAGGCAGGGGGGAGATAGGGTGGACCTTGCCTCGCGTGGAAAATCCAATGTCCCTTAATAGGAGAAATATAGAGCAGTTTTTAATGTTAGATATAGCAGAAATAAGCTGTTATTTCTTAAACTTTTTTTGTTAATAACTTTTTAACGAAAGACGACCACCACCTAAAACCTGTTGGAGGTGGACCCCACTCAGAGTCATAACGTTAACAACATATGTCAAGGTCAAGGTCATCGGCGCGGTGTCCTTCAAAACTCATAATTATGCCCAACATACTTTTATTTCTTTACAATCAGTTATCGAAATTGCATTTTAAAATTAGTATTACAAAATTTTATTTCAAAATGTTCAAACTCATTTTCTGGAAAACTTTACTTTTTGTTAATTATGTCATTGTTGTAGCAAATAAACGATATTAGATTTATTTGATCACTTTAAATGGTTTATCATTCATTTGTTAACTATAATCATCGAGTGATAGTATGTGAAAGAGTACTCACTGTAGTTGGAAAGTTCGTTGTGGGTTCCGTTCACCGTACTGTCCGGCAGAATCTGCAGATATCGATGCTTGATATACATTCGTATCTTCCTTAAGGGTCCACTGATGTGGGAGAGATTAGCCGATCTCTCGGCCCGAGTGCCCGCGTCGCCGATTAAATCAATCGATCTTGCATTCACTGCACCGATAATCCCAATTCCCAAGACACTTAAACCATTCGCGATCGGTCTCGCACTGATTCGACGCACATTGGATGGACCGAGCGATCCATACCGTCCGAATGCGATGAGGAAGAAGAGGAAGATCAGTTGAAAGACCGAGTAAACGCGACACGCGCGCCTGATCTGCTTCCTGTTTGCGGAGTTCTGCCCAATCCTCTTATTCCGCACGTCTTCCGAACGTTCATCGCGTCGTTCCGAACAGTCCAATCGTCCGTTCTCATCCGTCCGCGTGTCGTCATTACCGAATCCCTCCCAGAAAAACCCTTCGTCGAAGTTTTTAAAATTGTTCTCGTAGATTTCGTCCTTCGCGCGAGTACGCGAGTGATGACTAGAGAGAAGAGGACTTCCTCCTGCGATTCGTTTTCCTTCCGAGTGATCGGATGGATTCGTCTCGAGAGTCTTACTCCTGTAGAATAACGGCCGCGACCTCGTCCGGGATCGATCCCGGAGACTTCGACGCCTCGCGATCGTGCTTCCATTTGCGTCCACTATCGCAAGCCGATGTCGTTCCGCCTCGTCGCGTAGCCGCGATTCCACTCTCTCGGTCTCGTTGCTTGCGTCCTTCCGCGAGTTCCACGTGACCGAGAAACGCTCGTCCTTGGCGACATCCTCGATCGTTTGCGGAGATTCTCTCGACACGCAACATGCTTCGAAGAGTACGTCTTCGTTTTCGTCTCCTTTTTCTCTTTTTGCTTCTCGTCGCCGATGTGACGGCTGCGTTAGGCGACTCTTTACCAGGAAGTCACATCCGCCTAGGATCGTTTCCTTTTTGTCATCAATTCTCGGAACTCTCGTGGGTGAACTTTCACCGTGATTAGGCGGTGGGTTTCTACGTTTGCAGTTTATCAGCTCCGCTTTTCTCACGCAGTTTCCAGTCTTTTGCCATCGATCTTTCGGGACTCTTCTCTGCGATTCGTTCGACCCATTATCGTCGATCTTCTCGGATAAATGCACGCAATCGGTTTGGCATTCGTCATTCAGGAAAGTGGACACATGAATCGATGTCGCAGTCGGGCAGTCGGCACGGGAATCACAGTGCAGCACCCTATGCCCGCCCGTGTCGATCTCAGCGAGCATGACGGTCTCATCCGACGCTTCTTCTTTTGCCCTCCTCTCTCTTGGTACAACCGTTTCCCGCGTTAGTACAGCCGCCTCCTGTGGATTTATTATAAATTGTCGCGATCTCGCTCGTTTCCTTCTCACGATTCCGATTCCTACTTCTCGTCGTCGTTTCAAATGGCCTCGAGGAACGTCGGTCGGTTCGAACCACGATTGTCGGTGCGGTATCGATGAAGGCCGCGCGCCTTGCCAGTTGGCATTACAGCCGACTTCTAATCACTTCCGCCTCCGAAGAGGGTGCCTCGAAACAACGTGGGCCGCTGGGAATGAGGGATGCGGCTGCCAGTCCGCTGTTACCATCCATACACCGTTATTACGTTTTCGGTTCTCTCGCATTCTTGCTGCTGTCGATCGTACGGGTATCGATGTTAGCGCGCGCCCTGGTACAGACTCGCAGTTCCTATCTGTTGGATCAGCTGATCGCCGGATTTAGGAATAACGATTCGCAGTAGACAGGAAACGACGGGATCGATTTGCGTGACGACATTAGGTCAACGGTAAATCTCGCGAGTTCTACGATAGAAATTATGTTTCTTGCCCAGTATCGCCAAAGATACTCGATACACTGCGAATGATCCTGGTAATGAATTGATGGTGAGACCGATCCTATTTAAATGATTTTGATATAATTAACCGATGATTTTCGCGACTACACTCGGTCCTTTCTTTCTTTTTCTTTCACTCTTTCTCTCTTTATGAGATTTATTATTAATCTGCGAGGTCATGCATTAAATATCTTACGCCATTTCTCGTTCCCTTCTTTTCTACAGGTCTTATCAATTACTTCTTTCTGAATCTCGCGTACGTTTTGTAATCGTAGCTACGCTCAAAAGAATCCTCTCGCGAAAGATCGACACGAACAGATCTCCACGTAACGCACTATCACTACTTCACCACTAGTTATCATTATCCGAAGAAGAAACATTGGGCCCTTCCTTGATCGACGTCTACAATAGGATACCCCTGTTACAAACTTCCGCGAATTGGCGATAAAAAGTCAAAGGCGAGAAAGATCGGAATCGAGAGATAAAATTGAATTGTCGCGTCGCGACCGATAGGCATGCACCTTCCACGTGCTCCAAGAAAACGTTTCAAAGAATACTATAGAAATTTTACTACGGAATCGTTTGTTACCGATTGCTGCCGATTTTTTCAGTTCGAGGGTAAACACAGCGAGATCGTTCCCTAAATCGCCGCGACGAAGATGGGACCAGACCGAGCTATGCGTTATCGGGCAGGTCTTGCATACGGAATTGTCACGGGGGGTTCGCGGCCACGCGCGGGGTTATCTCGCAGGGTCGTCGGATGGTGCCGGTGCGACGTCCGAGAAACTACTGAACGAGTGCCGCAGTTCTCTTCCCCGACTCGCCGGGTTCGGGCACGCTCCTCGGTTCGCTCTCGTAGAGAGACCGAACCGGCGCGGCGGCGGCAGCGGCGGCACACGAGCGCACACCACGGCGGGTTGGCGGCGGTGGCGGAGGCCAAGAGTGAAACCACCAACACTGTATCAACGGGACACACGACGCGACTCGTTCTACTCACACGGGCCCGCCGAAGCAGCATCCATCCCATCCCGCGCTCCGAGAAGAACTCCGAAAGAGTCGATTTGTTAATAGCAGTCGTCGCTGTCGGCCGTCATTGCGTTGTCGTTATCATCGTCGAAATTGTCATCGAAATCGCTTGCGTTGTCCTCGCCGTCCTGTTCCGCTCAGTATCAGCTGCATGTCCCGCTCGAGTCCCGTTCCAGAGTAGCACGCAGCACGCGACAGATCTGGAAGCTCGTTCGCTCTACGTTCGCTACCGCACCATCACCATCGGAACCATGACCACCACCATCCGTCACGCGCCACAACTTTTTCTGCCCTCTCGTCCTTTCTTTCTTTCTTCTCTTACAAACTAGTAAGCCTCTTCTTTGTCGTTAAGAACTTATCCTCTCACTGTCACTTGGCGTTTCTTTTTCTTTTTCCTCCTTTTACCTCTTTTGTCGCGATTTTTTCTATTCGTCTGTTTCCTCCTCATTCATCTTTGTTCCGCCCTTTTTGCATAAATCTAGTCCTTTTGACTTTTCTCTCTTCGACCGCGAATCGTCCTCCAATTATTCCAGATCTGTCGCACCCGAGAATTCTACTATCGTTCTATTCTCTCTTCCTCTCATCCTGCGATCGTAAAATAGAAGCGCCACAAGGAGTTACTACTCGTTGGCGGGAAGAAAAAGACGGTACGACGAAGATAAAGACCGTGAAGGACGTGCACGGCACCTGCGAATCTAAGAAGATAAATCACTCGGAAATTGTCTCTTGCATGCGCACCCGCATTAAGATTTCTCTCCACCGCCGTTTCTTTCTATTCTCGCTCTCTCTTTCTCTTTCAGTTTCTTTTCTGTCACCACCTCCTTTCGCGAGTAACTTCTTTTAACAAGATGGTTTTTGACGGTTTTTACACAATCGGCATTTATGCGCTACGATCAGGTGCTATTGCTGTTGCTATCGTTGTCTATGGATTGCGACGTCTCGTTTCCTTCGTCTGAGTCTTGTTTTTCCCATTCTCTCTTATTTGGAATCGAAAGTCGCCTAGGTCAAACGGTACGCTGGATGCTTCTACGAACAGAAAGCAGATCATTTTGCGGTTAAAAGGATCGAGTTTGTGTAATCGTGACGGTTAAGCTTGTTGCGTATTTCAAGTTCTTGCACAAGTGAATAAACTTCTAATAATTGTGTTCCGGGTGGTCGTCAGTAACTAATAGTCCATTATGTTGTATAATTTTATAATTACTCAACACTGATTTAGCTCTTTTATTGTAAAATATTTAATAAAAATATCGGAGAACGAAAATTTATAGACCGTTTAAAAAGAAAAAAAAACGAATTCCGGTTTATTTTATATTAGAGAACAATTTTTGATTAAATTAAAATTCTTATTCAGGGAAAAGAACAGAAGTAAAAAAAAGGAAAAAAATAGGAAATACATCCATGACTTCTGAATCGAAAAATATTACATATAATCTACAAGTTCATTTAAAGCAAAATGCGTGAGAAGAAGTCTGTGTGAATAATTTATAATTGAGTTGTATTCTTTTTCAAATTAACGTAAGATAACTAAATGGAGAGTGAAATACTCAATATTTATAATGTTGAAGAAAACTAGAAATACGTTATTTCTGTTTACAGAAAAAAAATAAAATTATTGATTTACAATTACAATTCTTAAAGTTACGATTAATTAAATTAAATACAATTTATAAAATTGCTTAATTAAAAATTACTAAATTATGAGCTCACATAATATTTAAAAGTAAAATTTTGAATCATAATATTGTTATGTATAAATAATAATATATATTTAATTTTTAAATATTACAAATTTTGCATAGATTTCTGTGTAATACGATACGCGGAATGTCGTTTATTTTATAGTAGTTTTAACATCTTTTTTATATAAAGTAATTTCCGCTAAATCAAAGTCCGGAATCCTGTAACAAGTGGAATTGCAATTTTATTCCGAAGAAATACGACGATTAAGGCAATGATAGAATCCGAAAAAGTATACGTGCGTTCGTTTGAACGATATACATCGATTGTTTCCTCACTCACATAGAAGATTATCACTGGGTGCAATCCAGAAGTGGAAATGTCTGCTTCTTACGTGCTCTCTTCCCCGGTTTGTAGAAAGATAATAGAGAGATACCTTTCATCGGGGGGAGGGGGGCAACGCGACAAACGCATTCCTGATTGTCTATATCTTTCACTTTTATGGCTACTCGATGAATTTATGGTACTGTCGAGTATGTCGTGAAAACAAGGGAAACAACGGGATAATACAGTGTGACAGATGTTGTAGGTACGGATTATGCGATACAACTCGAATTTCTGTTTTTCTTGTAAAAATATAAAAATATTTGAAGATTTTGTTTATGTTGCCTCACAACAATGAACGTTAAATAATCATATTCGGGCTACATACGTTAAAGTCAAAAGAAAGTGTGCGAGAGATTAGGTTTATTTTTTGTTTGTTTTTTATAAAATACGAAAGAAATATGTATAATAGATTATAAAGAATTTGAGGTTTCTAGAAATCTCATAGGTCTAACACGAAGTTATTCTAGAGACGATTCGCACATTCATTCGGGCTTAGTCCACAGACTCGGGTTCAATAGATCCTAAGGCAAGTTTTTGGAAATAGGATTTGGAGATTCGTCCATACCTCATATAAATTGAAATAAACATAAATTGTAGTATAGAGTTGAACACACACACAACACATGCATACACGTTGAAATATTACAATAATATCGTCCATACATAAAATATAATATTTAATATTGAATTTAAAAATTGTATATAATTTTAAATTAGATTTTATTCTAATAACATTTTTATTTAAGACGCGATTACGATTAAGTTCCAATTAATCAAGAATTAAAAGTTGTAAGAAATGATAGCATCTTATTTACATTAGATTTCCTCTATATAAAAAGCAACTTTGAGTTAGTTGAAGTTTATGCAGGTCGGTATAAAAAAAAGTACAGTATCTCCTCGTACCGCAGTTTTCACAAAACGATAAAACTGAACTATATATGTAACACGAAATTCAAGTGATGGAAAATATTTATCTGCAAACGGAATTATAATATTATTCGTATCTCACGAATACGAATATTTTTAATTTGTATATAAATGTAACAGAAAAAAAATTAAATTCGCCCAACGTGGGGCTCGAACCCACGACCCTGAGATTAAGAGTCTCATGCTCTACCGACTGAGCTAGCCGGGCTTACGACATCGTGGTAAAAAGTAGCTCAGTTGAATGTATTTAACTATGTTATTACATATAATTTTTCTTTGTATAATATTGAGAAAATTTACATATTTTATTACACGAAATAAATAATATAGTAAATAAATATTTACGCGGTATATATTATAAATGCATAAGAAAATCGTTAAATGCCAATCATGCATAAAATTCTCTCTAAGATCATAATCTATAATAGCATTATATGGCAGTTAAATGTAGGATTACATAAGTATTTGTAAC